CTGCCTGCCTGCCTGCCAGCCTTGTTTGTTGTTGCTTTGTTGGCCAAATGGAAAAATAGATGTAGCTTTGAGCTTATGTCGGTTGGCGGATGGAGGATGGAGTACGGAAGATGGGAAAAGGGAAGGGAAGGGAAGGGAGGTGAGTGTAAGTGTGTGTCTCTATGTCTGTGTCTGCGTGGCATCGTGTTGTACTATATAGACAAACATACTTACATACGTACTCGTATGTATGTACAAGTATGTAGTATATCGTAAAAAGTGGCAAATTCCCCTGTTGCGTATGAATTTTTGGCGCCTTCGCTGAAGTAGAAAACATTTTCGCTCTGGGTAAATGTGATTTATATTGATTGTAATCGGGGGAATGGGGCGGCAACAATGGCGTTAGCGTTGGCTTCGGTGCCTCGTAACTACAATATCAGGCCCAATTTGTGGCGCTTGCAAAAATTAGACTTTTCTATTGTTTTCCATAAAATAGATGGATGACAGGCTCAACACTGGCTAAGGCTCTGGCTCAGGATCAGGCTCGGGCGCCGGCTCACAAGAATTGTATAAAGCCTGCTTAATTGAAAACTTGCAATTATATACAAGCCTTTGTTCCTACTCTCTACACCTCTGTATACACGTATTTGTACATATACACAAACATATGTATGTAAGTATGTAGTATGTTTGTATAGTACTTGCATACACTTCATAATTCCCACACAGCCCCCAGCCACTGACATATGCCTGCTCTTGCCGTTCATTTCAGCTGCAATTGCAATTCCAATTGCCATACCAGCACCAACACCAGAACCAGAACCAGTACCAGTAACAGTACCACTTACAATTGACATCGAAACAACGGGCACCCGCCACCCGTGCTCGACCCGCAGGCCCTCATTTCGCCACTATACATTTAAATGTATTCGTACATATGTACATACACGTATATAAGTATGTACATACATACATACTCATAGGTGATACGCTCCGTGAGATCAAGACCTAGACGGAGAAGAAGACGAAGGCGGTTTCTGAGACTACGGCTGCGACTGCGACTGCCACTGCAACTGTACGAATGCCTTGAATGGCTTGGATGACATGGCTCGGCCCGCCCGGTCGAGTGGTTGGTTGGTTGGCTTTCCGAATGCCTCGAGCATTTTGCTTGAGGCCGAGAAACGAAATTTCACATTGTGTGACGTATTTGAACTGTATATGGGAAGTTGTGCGGTTCGTGTCAAGGACTTGGGCTCTTTTTAATTTTAATTAGGTTGCAACACGTCTGTACGTGCTGCAGGCGCGATAAAGACGCATTCATAACTTGTATTCGAATATACAGCTAGCACGTGGCAAAGGCAGTCTACGCAATCAGAATAAAGGACGAGTTGTCTATTGGTAAAAGGGACGTCACAAAAGAACAGTATACATCCGAAACACATCTTAATTAATCAGATAATTACTTCCTTCGCCAACGTCGTTTGTAGTCTCAGTTAGAGAAGGTACGATATTCTTAAAGCCAAGTTGCTTCGAGGCCTGCAGGCTGAAAGTTTTGTTTCTGTAGCATATTTACCTCATTCGTGGGTCGAATTCTATAGTAAATCTATTCCATCATGTGACACATGCCAAAGTCTTTTCGTACACTCAAACAAAAAACAAATTATTTTTTTCAAAGATCTAAATATGTTCACCATGTGCACATTTCAATTTCGAGTTTAATATGAAAATATAAAATAAATATAAAATAACAAGTTATGGGTGAGGACGTGCGATTGATTCGCGCCAAAGGTTTCTTGTTTTTAATTAATTTTTGTTCACACTTTTTTGTCTACTCTTCTAGTATTAATTGTTTTAAATAATGATTTTTTTGTAAATGCGTATTAGTATATGTATTTATTTATTTTATATAACATTTTTGTAATAAAATAATTTAGGAATCTTTGAATCTTTTTAGGTATTATAAATATTGATGTTTTCCGCTTTTTAAAGCTTAGATCAATACTGATTCTAATAGTGAGGAATAGCTGAATGAATACACTTACTTGACGCATTCTTATCGTCCAAATATGTCAAGGGCTTACATTTTGTTTTCATAAAATACAACCGCTTAAAACCGACTTGAAATTGTTAGTCTATGTTTGTCTCTATTTTATATTTGAAAATATTCGAGTAACCAATTAAAAATATTAAAATGTAATATATTTCCCATATATTTAAATCGACTACAAAAAACTTAAATTGGAGAAATACAAGTATATAAAATTGGCTTTAGAAATATGGGAAATTTTACACTTTGTTATTTGAAGTGGGTTCATTAATATTTAATAAATTAATAATTTAATAAATTAAATATGATTCAACATTAAATTGAGCAAGACACACTTTAATGATAGAGATTTGCACTTTGTTGTGAATAATATTCATATTACAATCTTAGTGATGAATATGTTTTTAGTAAAATTTACGTTGGTTATATTTGATTTGAATACGAAATAGTAGAACATTAAATTTATATAATAATAATATTCATTTGTACTACAAGTATTCTTGGTATTCAGGTTCCCCTGAGCCCTGCCTGCAGCTCTGCCCGCAGCGGTTGTTGTTGCTGCTTTGGTTCAACTTTGTGTTGCATACATACGCGCATATAAACACGCAGAGACACGATTCTGATGTAAATGTATGCTGTTGAAACTGTACATGAACATGTCTCCACTTTTGTATTGAATGTATTGAATAATTTGTATTTAATTTAATTGAATAATTTAATAAATATAATTTTTTTTAATTAATTACAATTTTTTCTCAATTTTTTCCTTATTGGGAGGTACAAGTAAATACAAGTAAATAGAGTTGAGCTCACTCGACTTTAGCATTCCTTTCCTATTTTAGTGTAATTTCTCGGTAATGAAAAAGTAGTGTACCAAAACGTAATTACATTAAAAAAAAAGTCTGGTCCATCTTACACTACTTTTCTCGCGGCACAATTAATGGCCCTTAAACAGTGTCTAGCAGTAATGTATGTAAACGCGTCGTTTGTAATTCAAATACTCGTAAATGTCATTCTGATTAACCGCAAATGGCGGTGCATAAATGTAACTATCAATGAAGGAAGAAATAACATTTAAACTCGGGAATAGGTTGTTGACTTTAGCAATGACTTCTTGAATCTTGCTCAAGGCAGTTTCATGCATTTCGAATGTTGACAAATAGCACTTCTAAGTAGCACTCTAAGGTGCGATAAGGGTCTGTCTGCCTCGTTTATGACAATTTTATGTTTCCACGTAAGCCAATAAAATGGCATAAGGAGGACGAGATCATATGCGAAAAGTGAATGTTTTACACCATCATAACGAGAAATTAGTAGCACTGGCAAGGCCTCCCTTTAATTGCCTTTACAAGCTCAGGCATGAACAACCCAAGCGGTCGGAAGGGACGAAAATGGGGACATAAATCACAAATTCCAGGCACATTCTCTTGCGAAATTTGTCAAATTTAAGGTAAAGTTTTTTCACTGGCTTCGTGATTAACATAAACCGCAATTGGCAAAACAATAGAACGGCTACCAACTTTCTTAATAATGTCTCCTACCCCCCACCCGTTGCCATCTAGTCGGGTAGGCAGATAGGCAGCCAGGTGAAGAGCAGGCACCCGCCTGCCCCAACAACTCGACACTGTTGCTGTGAAATTTATTGCCAGCAAATAAATACGCAAAAGATGACACATGATTTGACCCCAAAGATAAAGCTTGGGTACATACATATGTTTGTGTGAGGCAAACGACCCTCACCCTGTGCGTGTGTGTGTGTGTGTGTGTGTGGGGGCGGGCGGCAAGCCAACGACGCCTGCGGCTGAGGAACGATGTGAAGACCTTAGGCATGTTTATTTAAGGTTCTGGTTTGCTCTGTCATTATTAAGGACATCATTCAACTAGTTGCCTGGCTGGCTGCCTGTATTGTATTGTCCGTGTTTTCTTTTTTGAGGCCGTCTTGTTTGATGAAAACGCGTAATTTGTAGGCATACGCATACGAGTTTGAATCGACCATACCGACACCAAATTTTTTATGTAAATAAACATAAGGAGGTTGCTTCATGGATAGGCATTGCGTTGAAAGGAGTGAATGGGCGTAAGAGCCTGTTGGTGGGTGGGGTTATGGCTTCTACTATATGTATATTTCCTCTTGATTTCCAGCATATTGAAATACGATATTTCTAATTAATTTACACTGTTCTTTTGGGGCTTGCGCTTTTGCAGAATGACGGTAACAGGTTACCTCCGAGCCATTGGTGGTGTTATAGTTAACCCATATCAACACGAAACATGTGTCATAGGGTCAGTGCGCAAGAAGTGAATCACAAGTCTGTTAAGGCACAGGCTGAAACTGAAAAGGCTTTATGAGCAATTCAAAATTTAAGTTCCTTTCGTCGATTTCCCGAAAAAACGTACACACAATTTTTATAACTATACTTGCATATTTTACTAAATTCCATTCCATTCCAAATAATCACATTAGATTAAGCTTTCTTTAAATGGTTATTGTTCGAAATATTTAAAGAAACTGCAGCTGCTTTGATGTTGCTGCTGAGTTAGTGGTAGATGATAAATTATTTATAGTTTTAAGAAACAAATCTATCACAACTGTTTAATATTTTAATATATATTTAAACTATTTTAATTTTATACATGTAAATAAGTTTTAAATTGTGATTCAAATATTTATTGCCATATCATTAAAAAGTATGCGATTTGTGCTACCAGAGCGACAATAAAACATTGCTTTGAGGCTAATACACAAACCAGTTCCATACAATACAGGTTTTGTCAGTCGTTCATAAAGTCGCACAGAAATAGCGGTGTCATTCTGCTGCGCTTCGGCGCAGTTGAGTTTCGTTAAGATATTTCTCGATATATTAGAGGGAAATATAATAGCCCGTTTGACATTTTTACATTTCCCAACCTAATTCCCACAATTTCGAAACCCGTATTTCAGGGCTGCCACATGGTAAATTAAGATTGATACAAGTTATGGGGAATATATACTGCTTTTATAATATATTTCGAGGAATTTTATCACTTAAATTTCGTGATGCCTGTCGGTAGTGTAGTGCAGTGATGCTGGTACATTTGCAGTAAAAATATGGTGTCGTCCAGTGTCAGTTCGGCTTTCGATAAAGTCTTAATGCGATTCTTTACCTTGTTTAAAATTTCAACTTCAGGCGGGGTAAATGTTTCTGCAATCTGAAATAAACATTTTAATTAAGAGATTCAGCCTGTATATAAATGCAGTACTTACCTCTGCTATATAGTCCTCTGATTCCCCGCGTTCCTTCATAGCCTCAACTATGCTGTCCAATCTTTGGGATTTCTCGATTAGACCCTTGTGTTCGCTCTTCTCGAAGTTGGAACGCTCAATGGTGTTATAAAGCGCCTTAAAACAGGTATCCAGTAACATTCTCACCGTCTGTGCAGTTAAAACTTATTGCTATTGTTAAAGTGTAGGCATACAATTTACTTACGTCCTTTGATTTGATTTGGAAGAGATAAAAAGACTTTGCGGGGCCGGTGCCACCACCCCCAGGCTTCTTAATTACTTTAACGTGAATAAACTGCTCTTGGAACAGATTGTATGCGAGAGATTTGGCCTCTTTTGAAGGTATCATGGCCTCCTTCTGCAAATCCTCCTGCTCAATATACTTTTTCATGCGTATCACTCGAAAAATACGGGCCGCTTTAGATCCAAATCTTTCGGTAATGACTGCCTCAACACAAGCAAATGCCAGCGATTCAAAAGACTTTTCCAAATCGACCACATACTGACCGCTGCCCATGTCGCCAACTTTGCGCAAAAAACCAAGTGAATCATCCGCTACTCAGATAATAAGAGTAAGATGTCTTCATATGCCATATAACAAATCACAATGCTCACCTAACAGAGTTATGTATTGGTCCAAGTGCTTCATAAGGTCAAGATTGTTGGACTGCTTTTCAATGGCCTGTTTAAGCTGCACAAATGTTATATGGTTGGACACCCTCTGAAATGCAGAATAATTTGTATACAATAGCTTTTCAATATTTTACAAATCCCTTACTCGCTGCCACGGATCGGTATTACAATACATTAACTTTAGTATATAACGAAAGCATTCGGCAGCATTCTCGCCCAATTTACGTTCAATAGCGTCAACCATGACGGTATCACGAAACTCCTGGTGAAAGCGGTCATAGTTCATACCCCAAACTATGCTATTTGTGGCATCTGCGAGTGAGGCTTCTCCTTTTCTAATCTTTGCCAGCAGTTGGAGATCAATGTTGGGCGGTCCGAAGAAATCACATTCATTTGTTAGAAACTTCGGCACACAGTCATCCTGATCATCTCCCGTTGTAAGCTCTGGCATCTTTATTATATAGTGATCGCCAATCATTCGTAGAAATGTGTCCCGGTAGCTCTCCGCATTTTCGGTCTTGTTTTCTGCATTTACGAGGCATTTGAGCAACAGCCCGTTTGCCGTCTCTGATCCAGCATTCAAGAGTTCCTCAGCAATGGAGGCGCCTACGTTACCATACTTTGTTTGCACAAGATGTATATAGCTTCATAAATACATGTATGTTTTTACAAGAAACAATCATTAAACAGATAATTCCGTTTCACTTGCAGTATCGATCTTACCGAGAGTAACGAAGTAGGCATATGACGTCTTCTCGCTTCAGGGAATATTCCGGCAGGAATGGGTTTCCAGTCGACGCCTTAAAACTAACAAGCCGAAACTTAATCAGCACGGCAAGAGCCAGTCCTGCCTCTTTTCTTGTCAAATTTGTGGCAGTGGCAATTTGTGAAAGAGTGCGGGTCGAAGCCGCAAACAGGCACTCCGCCACTGATTGCACCACTTTTCCAAAACATTGCTCCAAAACAACGGAGCTTAAGCGGGCGTAATCCGCAGACATATCTTACTTTTGTGCAACCGGCACCAAAATAAACCAAAGAACCGCGTTGCACTCAGCTGCTAAACAACGCTGCCACCTTAACATATTTCGACCGATGTGGCAGCATCAAGCCCTGTCCCCGCTTTATTTTATCTGAAGCACTACAAGCATTGTTTACAAAATAAATACAACTTTATTTTATTACTTTCTTATACTTGTACAGGTACGCTAATCACGCATCTCGCCCTCTTCGTCGTCTTCCATGCCTTTTATGTATAAAACATTGTTGCAACGAATCAGCACTTCTCCCAAATTGCCGGTCACGGAGCCCTCAATCACCTCCTCAGTATTGGCTAGCTGCATGTTCATGTAGCCATCGACAGAGACAAGAAAGCCCTTGTATTCCTGGCCCCACTTCAGCTTCACGAGCACCGGCTTGCCGGTCAGACCATTTAGAAATGGTTTGGGGTTTATTGGCATGCCAGCTGACATTTTGATTTATTTTTTCCAGCTACTGTTGCAACAAAAATTGTCCTTGCCGTTAATATAGCCGGCCTAAACGTTTTCGCGTTTTGATTAAAAAGAAAGAAGAAGAGGGATAGCGATGTGCAAAGCCTTAGAGATGGGTCATTTTTGTTCAATAACTAGTAACGAGCGATACCGATTTTGAATTTTTTCACCTATAGTGTAATCGAATTCGAAAACCAAAAAACGATCTACTAGGCATGTAAGAATCAACATTAAACTTTTGTGTTTTTTTTATAAAGCAAAACATATTGTTTGTTGTTCATTCCTAAGTACATGTGTTATGCCTCAGGAGTTTTAGTTTGAATCTCGCAAACAAAAATTGTAATATTATCATAAAGTATAAAATATGAATACGTATCTTTTTCATAATATAGTCTACGACCAAATCTAGTGCTACAAGTGGTACAATATAGCTAATAGGATCAGAAATAGTGTATATGCAATGCCTCCTCTTTTATTATAGGCATTAACCTGTTGAGTTTTTCGTTGTCATGGCCAAATACCGGTGCCATTATGACAACTTGTTGCCAAGACGCGACCACCGTTGTAACAACTAATATTTAAGCATTGGACTTCGACAAATATATTTTGTCGATATCCTAACGAGCGGAAGAAAAGAAAACTAAACTACTGCAAAAATGTCAAAGGCATCTGGATCTGAGGATGAGCCGCTGGTACCGGATGATTTTGATGACGATTTCTTCAGAGAGCTCTCTGAAAAGATGCCTGAAGTAAGGGCATGCTATACGTATGTATATTTGTGAGATAGCGATGGTTAATTTTCTTTGTTTGAAGGTTACCAAGGCGCTGCGGCAAAAGGACACGCCAAATAATGCTGATAATGTGCAAAGGCTACTCATCTGTGGTACCCGCTATAAAAATGATCTGCGAATGGAGGAGGGACGATCTCAGGAGCTTCGGGAGCAAATCGCTTCTCTTGAAGAAAGATTGGAAAATGCGGCGCGCCTAACTAAATTGGATTTGGCTACCATTGAGGAGCTGCGCGGTGTGATTGGTAAGTTGAACTGTAAAAGTCTTATTCCAAAAAGTCAATTACATGAATACTTGTGCAGAGGGGGCCTGGAAGCAAAAGGACGCTGCCCAAATACGCGAGCAGGCCGCACAGGACGATGTGCTAAACTTGCGGGAGAAACTTGATGCCTCGGAGCAGATGATTGTGCATTTAAATGAAAAACGTTTGGCACTGGCAAGCAAGCGGGACGATGGAAAAGAACGGGAGCGACTTAACGCCGAGATCAAGGACTTGAACAAGCGATTACAAATACAACGCGTCTATGCTACAGAAGTTGAGGCCATGACGCAAACACTTGAGGCGAAAAACAAAGAACTTTTGAAGCTCTTGGATGTACGTACCTCCGCACATTTATATCCTTTATATTTTCCTATTACATACTGATTACAGGAAACTTCCAGCGATGCCTATAATCTAAAGCGGAAGTGCGATGCCCTCTCAAAAGAGTTGAGTACCATGAAAAGCGAGGAGACAAAATATCTGGAGCAGATTGCACAGATGAAGTCGTCGAACGAACACCTGACCAAAGTGAAAGTTCGCCAGAATCTACAAATACTCTCGCTGAAGACAAACCTAGAACATTTGAACACGCAGCACAATGCCACGTGCAATAAGTTGGCTAAGATCACCATCGATTTGGAGTACACTGTGCAGGAACGTGACAAGAACAAGCGAAATTTAAATCAACGCATAAACTTGCTAAAAGTCCGCGAGGATGAGCTTATTAAACTAAAGCAGGAAAATAGTAAGATAGCCAAATCTCAGGAGACAATTGCACGAAAGTATGCTGAAATACTGGAGTCTAAACGCGAGGTAGATCAAGAGAATATTCGCCTCAAGTAAGTAGATTCACTCTTTATGCTTCCAAGCCAAAATACGCACTCTGCATTTTACAGGACCCAATTAAGCACTCAAGACAAGGAATTGGAATCCATGCGTCGCGTTGTGCATCACTTTGAAAAAAGCAAAGAGAACCTTACCAAGGAGCGTGATGTTCTCAAACGAGACTTGCAGGGGGAACAGCAATCAGCTGAGCAGAACAGCGCTCTATATCAGGAATCGCAACACGAAGTACGAGCTCTTACGGACACTATCAACACCATGGAACTTAAGATGAAGAAAATGCAGGAGGATATGAACAAACTGAAGAAGGAAAAGGCAAAGAAAATGGACGAGATACAAAATTGGATAGACAAGTTGGATGCCCTCCAAAGTAAGTGGCCTGCTTATCTCAAGCAGATTCTCAAACTTTCATTCCTCCCTTAGATGAGATGCATCTGAAGGAGAACTATGAAATCGAACTGAAGCGTACTATAAGCGATCTAGAGGCCAAGTGTCTCAAGTTACAACAGCAGCATGACACGCTAAGTAACGAACGCAACAATCTTCAACGAAATCTCCAGGCAATGGAGGATGCCAAGAGTGTACGATAAGCTAAATATTAGGACTCTGACAAAAACTGAAGTTTTTCTATTTTTACAGAAATTACGTGAGCAGATCGCTAACCTTCAAGGACACATCGAAGCTCTCAAAGAAAAGGTATATTGTACAGTAGGAATCAGTTGCATATCCTTCAGAGAAGGCTACTTTTATGTTATGAAGTGTGCATAAGATTTGTGTATAAGATTACATTAAATCAACAACAATCGTCTTAAGTTCGCCTTAATGATATACATTCTTATCTGTAAGGTAACATACCGAGACTCGGAACTAAGCAAACTGCAGCTGCAAATCGATCGCATGGAAAAGGAGCGTCGCCTGTTGCGGAACGATGTGCGTCATGCCCAGCTTGGCCAACAACATACTAAGGCAGAGTTGTTGGACAAACGAAAGGAGAACGATCGCGCCACCAAATCTCTACAAGAAGATGAGCAGCGGATTGCGCGATTGCGAAAGGACGTTGACAATTTGATGAACGAGAAAAATGCCATTAGCGCAGCTTTGACCAAGCGAAATGAAGAATATGCTCGCCTGAAGGATAATCTGGACAACCTGCAAGCCTCGTACGATCAAACAGAACGACAGTGCACCCAGTGCCAGGATGACATGCGATTGATGCGGGTAGAGATCAAGAATCTTCGCACTGAGCGCAATGTTCTGCGGAAGGATCGTGAGAGTGCGGCTGACTTGCGTCAGGAATTACTTCAAATGCATCGCAAACTTAACCAGGTCAGTATTTAAAAAAAATTAATATATATACTTGTAAATATATTAACATTATTTATCAGGAGCGAATCAAAGCACGTGCGCTACAGGATGAGATGCTAACACCTATGAATGTGCACCGTTGGCGTTCATTGCGCGGCAAGGACCCAGAGAAAATGGACCTTATCGAGCGTATTCGCATTCTACGAAAACAGATCCTCAATCAGAATGTGGCTACGCTACAGAAGGAGCGAGCACTTGAGGAGTCCCAGCAGCTGTATGCCGCCCTTAAAGAATTCATGCTTAAGCTACCAAGCTACAAGGTTCAAGCCGAACTTAATACCCTAAAGGTGGGTGTCTGCCATAATCCCTTATGCTTTGATTTTCTTTTTACTTCCCGCAGGCAACACTTTCCGCAAAGCAACGTAAGCTCAAGGTACTTACCGCCGAGCTAAGCGCCAAAGAGGCGGACGAAAAGTCGCACGTTGTTAAGTTGGAGGAGCTTAAGTGTAATCTGGCTGAGACAAAAACCCTGTTAGTCGAGGAGAAGCGCAAAAAGCAGAAACTACTCGAGGAGCGACAAATCTTAGAGCAAATGCAGGCGCAATGTTATTCGGCGCCAGCCCATATTTCGCGCACTTTGGGTGCGGGCTTTAAAATTGTGAGCGGATTCTAAAGAATTTCAAAGGTGAAAATTACAAAATTGTTCGGCAGGATTGTTTCTTTTGATCTTGTCATAAATCCATAGACCAGATATTTTTATAATATGTGTTTTAACCGGAAATCGGACTACAACTTCAATTAAAATGTCGATATCTGGAGTAGCCGACTGACCCCTGAATATACCAGTTGGGTCAGTCTTATTGTCTATTTGAAAACATCGAGCCATAAAAACCCACATGAAGCATCATAAAATATTAACGGTTATCCAGCTATCCACTATCCTTATGCATTTATTAAATTCAACCATGGAATAGGACCAAAAAAACACAACAAGTCAAATAGAACAATCAATAAATATTTATTCCTTGTAGAATACTATGTATGTACATGTAAGAAAACAGGGCTATGTATTTAGATTTCATCGGAAGGAACATCTAAACTCTTCTTTTCGGGTTGAAAAAATCCAGAGGATTGCTGGATTACTGCATCTGCTAGGCACAGTTCATACTTGGGATAAAGAACCTTGCTGGTCTTGTTGAAAGGTACTGCTCGTTTTTTCCGGAATTTGACAGTTGGCTGGACTTGCTCTTTCAACTTCGTCTCGTAGCTTTCAATAATGCAATCACGTGTCTTCAAATCGATCTCATTTATAGCCAGTTCTGCCTTCATAGCTTTCAGCTTTCGGATCTGATTACGATTGATGCGCTGCTGGGTATTCAGCTGCGCTTTTATGCTCGGATCAGGAATGTGCTTCAACTGCTGCTTTAAAGTGTCATACAGTCGTTGCACATCCTGCGCTCTCTTGTCAGCGTTGACGCGGTCAAGATTGAGCCGAATGTTGCGCCTGTGGAATAAAAGGAAGATCATCAAAAATTAGCTGTACCAAATACTCCCAACTACCGAAGAAAGCTTACTTGAGCAGCACCTGAATCTTGCGTATAAGGTCGAACTTCTTTGGATCCCTGCCCAGAAGCACACGCCAGCGGTGAATGCGGCATGGTCGCGCCATCTCCTCCGTGAATGCAGTGACGCGCAATCGCTCACGATTAAGAGTGCGCTCCAGGCGCACCACCTCCTGGCGCATGTTGGCTGTCCCCTCCAATGCCCGCTTCATGCAACTGTGAGACATGCGGAGATTCGTGATCTCCAGCTTAAGCAGGCGTATATCTTCGATGCGCTGATTGTATTGTGAGGTGCCGCGATCCAGGCCGTTTTGCAACATGTTTATCCGCTCCTTTAGCAACTGTACTTCGTCATTGCGCCGAACCATCTGCAGTCCCACCAGATTCTTCTCCTTGCGCAATTCGTCCAAGCTGTACGTCATTTGCTTAAAACGTTTTTCGTCCTGATCGATGGTATGTTGCGCATTTTCGTTGCGTATCTTCGTTTCTTTAAGATCGGTGCGCGTGCGTTGCAACATTCGTTCTGTACTCTGTATCTCGGACACTTTCTGCTTAATGGTGCTGTTGAGCTGTTCAATTCGACAGTTCAGTGCATTGAGCTCCTTTTCGTTCACGGCTATCTCATTGGTCATTTGGTTGACCTGATGAGTCATTTTGACATTAATGTTTTGCAAGGTCTGCCGATCTCGCGTACACACATCCAAACTTTTCTCCAGGCCCACTTTTTCTGAATGCACTACTTCCATTTGCTTTTTCATGTTCACAAAGTCACGATGCTTGGTCTGAAGCCTTTCATTGAGTAGCGCTAGGCGGTCGGTTTTTTTCAAAAGGGTCTCTGCGGCATAATTCTGTAATTACTTTGCTTATGAATTAGATAGAGATAAGCCACACTTACCCTCCAAAGTTTCAATCTTATCGTTAAGATCGTTACTCTCCTGAATCAATTCATGTTTCTCTTTGTTAAGTTTTTGTATATACTGCTCCTTTTCGTCCAGCTTTTTATTCGCCCGGTCATACTCATTCTGCAAGCCCTGCATGCTGTTCCGCTGCACCACAGCATCATGTTTCATACTGGCTACTAAATCGCTCATACGCGTATAGTCCAAACGTAGTTTTTCTCTGCTCTTAAAAATGTCATCTTTCATGTGGGTCATATCATCAAGCTGGGCTAAGGATTGGGCTAGTTTCTTTTCCAGCGTATATATATCATTTCTGGGGATAGTTTGTTGATTGGTCATTTGAAACGAGTTACAAATATTTATACATATTGGTGGAAAGCTTACTGCAGCGTGATGTTAGTTTGATTAATTTCGATGTTTTTGCGACCCAACTGCTGAAATCTGCGCTTCAGTATGCCATACACGTAGGAGTTTTTCTTCAGCTCTCGCGATAATTGCCGGTTGTGATTTTCCATCTCTTCAAGGTCTCGTTTGTTCACCTTAGCCATGTCTTCCAGCAAGGTTATTTTCAAATGCAACTGAGCCTTGTCTTCCTCAACGCGATGATAATTCCTTTGAATATTGTAATTCTCGCGCCCTAGCTGTTCATTTGCCGATCGGAGCGCCTGGTTTTTCTTTTGAGAAGCAATGAAGTTGAGCTCATAACGATGCAACGCTTCATGACAATCTTTGGTGGTGGCCAGTTCCTTTTGCATTGCTTGCATATCCTCGTTGAATCTCTCTTGTAAGACCCGCTGCTTGTGCTCGATCTTGAACTTTTCATTCTCTATAAGAGTTATATGCGACTTCTGTTTACCAATGGTAATGCGATGCGTCTCAATAATGGTTTCCAGGGTCTCGGAATAGTACCGTTGCAATTCCAGGCGTTTTTGATATTCCCTCAACTCGCCAGCCAAGCGATCGCGCTCGCGAAGCACAACGCCGCGTATTTTGCTGTTATCTTTGCTGCAAGTGAATAAAACTGTAGCTGCCCACATTTGAATGTCTATCTATGACTATCTTACTTATGATCCTCATCCGAAACCGAGCTGTGCTTCACCAAATTCTCCTTCGGTTCTAAGGCTATCACTTGCCGCTGCATTAGAGCCTCACGGTTCTCTGCTGCATCGGCTGCGCGCCAAGCCTCAGCTATGATATTCTTAGGTTATCCCCTAATCCTTACAAATTTATGATACATACTTACCCAGAGAGTCACGCAGATGATCAAACATAGACTCCGATGTAGCGGTTGTCTCCAGCGCTAAGCGCAACTTTTCATCCGCATCATGCACTCGGTGCTTCATGGCTTTCGCCGACTCCACTTCTCCCACATAGCGGGTGTGCATCAGGGCCAGTAGATCCACATAGCGTTTCAGCTTCCCAGCCACAAAAGCATTAACAGACTCGGCCACTACTTGTATGAGACGATTGGATGTAGAGAAGAATTCGTCATTTAGATCTTTGATGAGATCGAGCTGAGTCACATCGATCTGGTCGTCAAAGTCCTGAAAGAGCGTTAGATCGGGCTGCTCAACTGGCTCTTCTTCAACAGGTTTTGACTTGGCTATTTTGGTTTGGCGCTTGCGTGGTGGCATTTTTAATGGTATTGCAAAAAGCAGGTAATTAACACAACAAGAAAAGACAACAGAAACGAAAAGAAAAACAAATTAAAGAAAATAAAGTTGGTCCGCAACGTGCTTCATTAAAAATCAGCACGTACGTCCAAAAGCAAAAACGAAACTTAATAAAACATAAACCAGTAAAATGAAATGTGTGTGTCTGTTTCAAAGTTTTTTGAAAAAATATGAAAACATATCAGAGTTATACAAATATGCTTCTGTTGCCCTAATAGGGATTATTGCGTACAGAATAAATTGCTCTCTTTTCCCGAATTTAGTAAGCCTTTAACATTTAATTTATCTTTAAAGTTTTATTTTAATTCAGGATTACTTTACAATTTAAATTAGCAACTTTCATGTAGGTGGGAATCATAGACACAACATACACATATACTTGTAAGTTCAATTTTTAGCAAGGGGGCGTTCATATAATCCAGAAACAAATATTGATTTCACGCACCCCCACTTATTCAAAATGTTCCCCAACGAGAAGGAAGACCCAAGCCATCAGGATAGTTTTGACTGTTTAGGTTCTGCATCATGTATTTAATAAAGAATTCCTTTGGGTTCTCAGGCGGGGTTTCTTCCATGGCACGCTGAATGTTTCCTTCCAGCTCGCACATCTCAGTGGGCCCTTGAAGTATACTAGATATGGTATTACAGCATCGTTTCTTGCTCGGTCGTTGCAGTATAGGAATCATCAACTGCGCTGTTGCGATGTCGACAGGTGGCTCCATTGGGGAGTCCATTAAGGTGCGCAGTTGTAGTTGCGTTATCTGAACATCGTAACTGGTGGCATCGTTATCATCAGGCACATGGACCACATATGCCACATGTACCGCCGGCATATTCATCCAATTCACAGGGTTCGCTACTTGTTCCATGTCCGTAATATACTTGTATTATTTTTATTCGTTGAAGGTAATGTTTTGCACGGCTATACAAATTTATAAATTTCTGCAAATGCTATTCTAAAAATCGTATGTGACGATATTTTCATTTTTAAGTAATCCAAAGAAATCATTCTACACTAAAAAGGCAATAAAAAGAAGTATTTTTCAAGGCCTGCTTCAAATTAATTGGTGCAAGTGTAAAAAGTGTTTAATACTATTGTATTGTATTATGTTTCTATCTAATTATTGCCTGTACCCAAAGGGTGAATGGCTATACTAGTTTTGTGCGCATGTATGTAACACACAGAAGGAGGCGTGGCAGACCCCACAAAGTATATATATTATTGATCAGGATGACAAGACAAGTCGACATAGCCATGTCCGTCTGTCCGTTCGTCCGTCCGTCCGTCCGTCTGTCTGTATTTGTTTGCCGTTTGCTGTTGTTGTTGTTGCTGCTTTGGTTCAACTTTGTGCTACATACATACTTACACGCATATAAACACGCATAGACACGTGATGGAAATGTTTGCTGTTAAAACTAAACATAAACATGTCTTTTATGTATGTATTAAATAAATTTTCTTTATTAATTAAGTTAATAAAGTACAGGCTATTTTACTGTCGGGCTTGCTGGACTGTAGCGTTCTCTCTTTTTTTTAATTATTATTCTAATTATGTTTCTATAGCAAATATTTTTCCCATCGCATTACTCATCTGATTTCGGTTTCTCATAACAATGCGAAAATATGGGGCTTTGGACTTTTCACTTTTTTGAGAAATAACTCTCATGCTCATTTCTTGTCTACATACAAATAATTGCCACATGAAACATAAAATCATGCGAGTTGATAGCGATTGTGTGCTTAAATAAGGGAATAGTGCATAAAAGGTAAGCTCGTAACATTTAAATACATAAGTAAGTCGAATTTAATTAAATAGTATCTCTGTCTGTATATTTAAATCGCTACCAGCTCTACGTTTTTATAGCTATCGAGCTAATAGCTTGCACTGGAGCCCATGAATATGAAACAATCATGTTTCATAAAGCACACTACAAAGTGTTTTTGAATTCATGAACTTTATTCCAACTTCTGTCGCAAATTTGTATAATCGTATTATTGCCCTTATCACCATCAATCAATAAAATTGAGTCAAATCATTTGAGCGCCTTTGTTTCCGTTTCATTTTCACATAACAAGGTAATATTGCTTCCATCATTTGAATAAGGACCGCACTCTAAGTATTGGTCCATTTCATTTGGATCCATTTCAGAATCATCTCTAAATTCGCTGACTTTAATCTTACTGCTGGTTGGATTCTTATGCGTAGGGGTACGCATTTCCTCCAGCTGCCCAGCGTACTTATTTATCATGCACTGACGAGCATTCAATTCCACTTCATCCAGAGATCGTTCGGCTTTAAGGGTTTTCAGTTTTTTTGCCATTTGGCGATTTATACGCTAATCAAGATTTAATGGGATACAAAGTTGGTAAAGTCAAATTTGTCTGATATTAATCTTATGTACATACCTGTTGCACGACGAGCTTGTGCTTCACCTCAATAGTTGGCATATGTGAGAGCATACGTTTTAGACTATCATTTGTTTTCTGAGATTCTTCAAGTAAGTTTTTAATGTTCGAGTTCTCTATGGATTGCCTCAAGGTCCGCCTGTAAAAGTTTTTTTGATTAATTATTTGATTATTCTGATTAATTTAATTCTGATTCTGATTTAATACTCACTTTTGGAGCACCTGCAGCTTCTCTAGAAGCTCAAATTTCTTAGGATCCTCGCCTTTAAGAATACGCCAGCGATGGACACCGGTTGGCGTCTTGGCATCCTCGGTCAATGCACGAATTCTGATACGCTCCTGATTAAGAGCACGCTGTAAGCGAACGATTTCCTTTCTCATATCTGCTGTGCTTTTAATGGCGCGCTTCAAGCATTCTCGCTCAGTATGCAAATTAGAGATCTCCTTCTTTAAGAGACGTATGTCCTCAATGCGTTGATTGTATTGCGTAGTACCATTGTCGAGTGCGTTTTGGGCAATCTGGAGTTTCTCCTTTATGAGCACGATCTCGTCATTTCGACGCACCATCTGTAGGCCCACCAAATTACGCTCCTTTCGCATTTCTTCCAGCTCATGCCCCATTTTCGTGAATTTGAGCTCGTCGTTCGAAATGGTTTTTGACAGCATCTCGTTCTTTGCCTTCATTTCACGCATATCTTTACGCAAGCTTGCCACCATATTCTCCTTGTTCTTAAGCTCCGATTGCAGTTCCTTTATGTTATTATTCAGATGCTCGATTTTCAAATTGAGTGAGTTGATCTTTACTTCATTAGCACTAATTTCGGTTGTGAGTTGTTGGATTTGGTGACCGGATTTCTACAGAAAAATATCTTTATAACTAAGAAGCATAAAATAGGATAATAAGTCGATGATACATACGGATTGAAGAATACGGAAATTGTCACGTTCCTGTGTCGTGGTCTCAAGATTACGTTGCAGCATCATCTTTTCCGAGTGCACAGCTTCTAATTGCTTCTTTAAATTGTGCACATCACGCTGTCTCTCCTGCAATTTCTCGGTTAGATCGTTTACCTGATTGGTCTTCAAATGGATTTGATCTACGTAATGTTAGAAGGTTAGGGTTTATCGTCGGTTGAATAAAAACAAAAATTCAACTCTACATTTTCTCAAAAAAAAAAAAAAAAAAAAAAAAAAGGAATGCTAAGGTCGAGCGAGCTCAACAATTAAATACCCTATACCTCCCACCAAAAAGGAAAATTTAATTAATTTCAAAAAATGATATTAATTAAATTATTTAATTAAATTAAGGACATGCTTCTGTACAGTTTCAACAGCATACATTTACATAAGTATCGTTACTGCGTGTACTTATGTATGCAGCAGAAAGCTGAACCCAAGCAGCAACAACAACAACAGCTGCGGGCAGAGCTACAAGAAGAGCATGGGCAGCGATTTTATTTATGGCTATAACTTTCTTCAGAATTGACCTATCATGATGAAATTTGGCATACAGACACATAATCACTAAACGGGATGTACAAGTAGTTACCAAATTTTAGTTCGAAATTCTAAGGGAGTTATGGAAAAAAACATGAACTGCGGAGGAGTGGGGGTGTATCAAAATAAAAAATTAAGCTTGTCCTGCCTAGGACTTAGGGGAACCTAGATACCAAGTTTGGTAACTCTAGCTCTTGTACCTTATGAGATCCTTGCGCTCATACAGACGGACAGACGGACATGGCTATATCGACTCGGCTTGTCACCCTGATCAATGATATATATACTTTGTGGGGTCTGCCACGCCTCCTTCTGCCTGTTACATACATTCGTACGAAACTAGTATTGCCTTTTACCCTTTGCGTACAGGCTATAAAAACTACTACAGTTTTCAGCTTACCCTGATAGTTCTCAATGCGCTCGTGAAGTGTCTCCATTTCCTGCGCCATTTCATCGCGCTCCCTTTCCGCTTTGGATTTAAGTATATATGCCTCGTCCAACTTCACATTCAATTTATTCACATCCATCTGCAGAGAGCTTATCATATTTGTCTTGAGCATCATGTCGTGCTTAAAGTCTGCCATGGTATTGTTCAACTTAATAATATCACTACGGAGGCTGTCACGCTCCCGCTGCACTGTTTCCTTAACCCTTCGTATGTCGTCTGCTCTTCCGTTAGCATTAACGACATCCTTCTCCAGAGAATTTATGTTGTTCCTGCGAGAGTAGTAATTGAGGATTAGCAAGTTGATATTTCCCACATACATACTTTTGACGCAGCATGTCACTATTGAGCGAAAGAACTTTTCGGTTCAGATTATACATGCGCTTGGTTGCATTATTTTGATCCTCCATAGACTTTTTCAATTTGGCCGTCAGCTGGCTTACTGTATTGGACTTCTCCTTCTCGATCAGGCGCAGCTGCTTTATAATCTCTTCGCTGTTCCTCAGATTTTTCGTTAAGTCACTTATTTCATCCTCGTTCTTATGCACGGTTTTACTGAGCATGTTGACCTCAGCCTTGAATTTTTCCAAAGAGACCTTTTGTCGATCATAGTCGATGATCTTTTGATGCAATTTACGATCTATCTCCGTCAAGTCTCTATTCGCTACATCCAGCTTTATCAGAGTCTTGCCGTGGGCCTCTTTCTGCTCCTCCATGGATTTCATAAGAGCGCGCAGCTTTGATTCCACATTGAGACGCTCGCCTTCAGCAAACTTTGCCCGTGTCACCATTTTGCCCATAGCATCTTCATTGTTGCGTATAATATACTCCAAATTTTCAGAATAGTAGCGATTGGTAGCTAAACGTTTCTCCAGGTCAATCACCTCGCCGGAAAGACGATCGCGTTCTCGTAGTATAATATTCTTGTACTTGGCCAAATGCCCGAACCTATGGAAATAACGGGTCACAAAGCGCTTGTTACTACCCCACTTCACTTACTCAGACGCATCGTCAGATTTCCCAGCATCCCGATCACCCAAGCCCTCACATTTCATGAGCACCTCTTGCAACTTTTCCTGCACCAATTGTTCTCGCAAGGCCGCCGCATCCGATTCCTTCCACGCATCTCCCAGAGACTCCTTTAACTTTTGCATGGTATCCTCTGACGTGCTCGTCAGCTCAAGCGCCAAACGTAATTTATTTTCCGCGGATGATATTTGCGGACGCAAAATATTATTACTGTCTACCTCTTCCACGTAGCGACGATGTAAATTAAAAATGATGTCGGAGTAGCGTTTAATACGGGACGCTTCAAAATGACGCTGATTCTCCATAAGGAACTGCACAATCTGTGAGGGAATTCGTGAGCAAAACTCGGCTCAATGGGAAAGAGTGTCTTGCAACTAGCCATCCAACTTACCCGACTCGCCTCGTTGAAGAAGCCATCATTGAGATCCGAATATAAATTCAATTCCAAAACATCCGTTTCCTCGAGCTTAGACTCGAATTTCAATTCTGGCTCCACCACCTCCGGCTCCTTCTCCTTTTTTTTCTTATCCTTCTTTTTAGGCGGCATAGCGGCAGTTCAATTTGTTGAATAAAATATGATATTTTTGTACACCAACAGCTGATGGGTTTGATGTGTATAGTATAAGGATGTTTTGCTACTGGGACATTTGTTTTATTCAATATACGATGTGTTATGACAGCAAATGGAACACTGCCTCCGATTTCAAACAATATCTCAAATGTGAATTTATAAGTTGCGGGAATCAGAAATTGTTCAATACAGTTTAAGTTGAGTTCCAGAATCTTTAAGCGAATAGCTCGATATATTTTTTCATCCCAATGCATAATAATATTGATAGATGGTTATTCTACTCTTTTGAACTAACTAATTTTTAGACAGATCTCAAAGAAATTTGAATTCACAGAATTGTGTTTTCCACATATTTGACGAATCAAAAGGATTGCTTTTCTAAGCTATCGTATTTCTAAGAAAATTACTTTTAACAACTGATTAACCTTATTGAGTGAACATTTCAGCCTTTTGTGCTAAATTAATAAGAAAATGTTTTCTAACGAATAATACATTTTCAAGATTACCGTGAATTTGTTGTACTAAGGTGTCTAATTTTTCTTTTTTGAGTTTCACAATCGCCAGTAGCACAAATAAATAACTTCTCGAACATTTTTTATTGGGACGGTCAGGTGTATTGTAAATGAATTTGAACAATACTCGGTTGTTTTTATTCGAGGCTCGAATACTTGATTATCTGAATAATTATCATTATAGTCCCCATACTAGAGTGTCATATTAAAGATTTATGTTTGTAGGAATAATCGAAAGTCTTTGAACGGTGTTTATTTTGTTTAAGCATATATTTTTTTAAAGTAATTATACAGTTATTTTTAATCATTTTCGTTATTGTTCTATAATTTATAATAAGAAAATATATAGTTATATATATATATATATATATATATATATATATATATATATATATATATATATATATATATATATATATATATATATATATATATATATATATATATAAATGGATAGATATCTAGTTATGTACAAATTGTGTTAAATGGTTGCTTGTCATATGAAATTACAATTAAGGACTTTTCAGTATTTTTGCCAACTGACAAACTCGTTAAAATATAAGTAATGGAAATTACGATAAAATCACATATACAAATTGCCTACAAATTAGCCCTATTAAACTGATCTCTGTTTTTGCTAGAAAAATATATGTATTTCAATCTATAAGTTAGCTACTGACTTTCTAGGATTCTTCTACGCCCAGTTCTAGATTGAAAGTCAATTGATTTCTTGTTTTCAAGTTTAGAACTTTCAATAGAAATTGCAGACAGCTTACACCCTTCGTTAACTTCAACATCTTTATAAGGGTAGCACAGAGTTCCGGAAAATTTAAATGTGAACGACCGTGTTATAGCTATTTGGTTGGTTTATTGTTAGACATTGCCGCCTAATAAGTCACAAATATAAAAATGATGCACACGAATTACAAAAGACGGGATTACATGCACATCAATGCGCTTTATTGTACACATTTTAAAGACTTTCAGTTGGTCATTGAAATCTAAATAAAAAATATATAGGTATGCATATATAACTATGTATATGTACGTACATATGTATTGGTTGCTTGCTACAAAAAGAATAATTGTATTTGTCTAGGTTTACCATATAAAATAAAGAAAACAATTTTGGAAAACAATTGCGATTCACAGTTAGCTTTTTTTTTCATTCGCCCATTTGCACCTCTTCCATGGGTCGCTTGAGCTGCGCCTGCCAGCACCGGCAGGCACAAGAGCGGCCAGTCCTAAGAAGCACTAGCAGTCTGGGTCCGTACATCGCGCGACGGCGGTGTGTTCTGGTGTGGCAAAGCAGATGTACGCACCTCTCGCGCATAACACTCACGGCAAACGCGCACCGCCTTGGTCAGTCCGTACTTAGGCAACGGCGCAGATGCATTGGAACACACTCCGCAAAATACACCGCCGCAGTTTCGACAGTGATGACGTCGCCGGAAGGCAGTGAAGGGCGTCTGACAGGACATACAGCGTGGCGCCTTTCCATCGGGTATCCAAGCGGGTGGCGATAAGGTTGCCGATGTGGGTGCTGTTGAGTCGACGGTAGCGTTGGAGGCATAGTTGCTAGTCATCGGTAGACGTACAGGAAACTCGCTGTTGCTGTTGTGCCGACGGCCACTACCGCTGCGTGCACTTACTGGCGAATTCTGCTCCGAGGAGGTGGTGGACGATGCGCTTGACGGCGTGTTGCTGCCCACGGAATTGTTACGCTGGCGTTGAAGCTGCTGCTGCTGCTGCTCAAGTTGATGCTGATAGTGCGTGGCACTGGCTGTGGGGGCAGTGCCCGTCGTGGCCTCTTGATCGCCCAAGCTACGACTGCGTGCAACGTGGTTACGAGTTGTCGGCGCTGTATCCGAATCGGCTGCCGCCAGATCTATAGTATTGTTGCGCTGAATGCTAGTACCTGTCGAGTGACGCGTCCCGATGACGACGGCAGATTGGGGATTACTGCTGCCGTTATTGAACACATTGTCCAGCTCGGGATTGACCTCCTCGGCTGAGTAAATGCTTTGGTTGGAGCCGGCGCTCTCTTGTATCACATCGTTTTCTGAAGCTCGAAACTCAAAGAGCTCCGACTCCTTTGTCTTTTCCGGTATGTCAATCTCCTCCTGGGCCGACGACACATTTATAAGAAACACGCTGCGTAGTATTTGACGCAGGTCGGATGCGAAATTTGTTTGCAACTGATCGGCAACGCCGGCAATGCATACAAATAGGCGATGAAGCAGGTTTTCAGTGCTCCTAAAAATGATAGATAACAGAGAGCAATTAGATATACGGTTTATTTCTTGACAAAAATACTTACTTAAATTTCAGACGTGCCGTGGTGCTGCGCATGGCCAAAGAGACATCGGCTTGATTGGTGTCGGACAGCGAGGAGGCGGTGCTGGTGTCTGAGCCCGAGTTTGGTTGCACACTCTTTGATTCCACCATGGAGCTGACATGCTGACTTTGTGCTGCTGTAGTGGCATCGCAATTCTTATTGTTACAGTACTTGGACGAAGGTGTGCGCTGCCGTCCACCGGAGCGGCTCGTGCAATGTGCATGTGGATGCGACTCTTCCGACTGATGATGGTGATGACTATTGTGGCTATGAAGATGATGTCTGTGGTGATGCCGATGGCTGTGCGTGTGGTGGTGGTGGCGAACACGACTACACACACCCCGGCTTTCGTTGGTGGGCATCTGCTCCTCCGATAAATTGATTGTCAAATGTTCAGTGGGTTCGCTGTCGATGCTTGTCAAGCGAAGCAGTTTCTGAGCTCGCCCTGTCGCCAGAACTGCAGCACTTGTGGTGGGCTCTTCATCCGCAAACTCCTGCTGGCCATACTCATCATCTTCGCTTGCCACGAAATTATCCGTGAGAGGAACTTCTTGCGGTTGCAGCAGATTGCCCAAATTAGTGTTTGGTATAAGATAGCCCGAGGCACAATCGGGAGCAACAATGTCTTTTAGCAGCTGCTCCGAGTCTGTATCAGTATGCGTTACATCATCATCATGGTCTTCGTCTGCCTCATCGTCGCTCCAGTTAACTGTGGCATTTGTGGATGAGGTTGCCGCCGATGCTGTAGAACCTATTGAATGTGAAGGTGTTGGCGACGCCGTTGGCGTACTTGCAGCCGATAGCGACGACACGGACGGTGACGAAGAACGTGGGCTAAAGCGTGCTTCTCGCGAACTTGCCTGGCTTTGGGCTTCTTCAGCAAGGTGACTGTTACTGTCGCCGCCTGTGTTGAGGTTATTGTTGTTGCGCTGGTCTATCAAACGCTCCACAATTTTGTGGCCACTTATTGAGTTTTTCCTGCTGCTACTGTCGTTGTCACTGTTACTTTCGTTGTTGTTGTTGCTGACACTGTGCTCGGGACTTGGCGCCTCAATGCTGCTGGCGCCCACCGGTACCTGCAATTATAAATAAAATTATTACATTCAAATTTTATAAACTTATATTCTCACTCACCTTTGTGTTAATGTCCTCGTTGGTGCACAATACTTTTTCCAACTGATACAGTTCCTGCTTGTTTAAATTACGCAACAGATCCCGTATCTTGATCAGAATTGTTCGAAATGGTCGAAACATTTCCGACAACTGATCAGCCGGCATGTCCATATTGAGGGGTCCCTTGGCATAGATGACTAGACCCGCTACAATAGCTAATCGCGGTATTGAAAACATCAGTCCAGGATCAAAGGCATCTACCTTCTCCTGATCAAGTAATCCTATTTTGAGGGCTCGTTGCAGCGTCTCGGAAAAGAGAACACCAATCCATTGTTGCATCTCATATTCATGGCGCGACTTTACTTGCACCATGGCGCTCACATAGCTCAGTTCGAACTCGGCGAAGAGACGATCAAAGATCTTAAGACTCTCATACAACTGTTCCGTGGTTGAGTCGTTCAGGTCCAGATGCAGAGTTTTGCTATTAGGCACATTGTTGCGCAAGCATTGATCGCGCAGCAGCACTCGCACATTGCCCAGACTCTTGGTCACGGCCTGCGCAAGTGGGCGCATTTCCTTGCTCTCTGCCTCACGGTTCATGATCGATGAACCGGCGGCGAGACACTCAGCGCCAAACCACAACTGACCGGCCAAATTCTCCTGCAAAACCTCCTCGGGAAACTTTGCACGAAAACAGCGTGGATCACGATCCTCACCTAGCAGCTCCTCCATTATGAGATTGGTGATGGCCAACACTTTGTCCTATTCAACAAGATATTAAATATCCACAAGGTCGTTTTACGCCATGCACTCACCTGATTTTGTCGTAATCTGCTGACCAAACGGGAACAGCGATCTGGCTCAGCACGTCCGTCAAAGCTGTCCAACTCACTGGCCACAGCCGTGAGGGAGCGATCCGCATGGTAAAAGCGAGCCAGTAGAGATTTGTCATCGGCCTGTAATGGAATTAATTTATGAGCAACCAGTGGTTTGATTAAAAAGTGCCTTATCACCAGCAGTAAAATAAATTGTTATAGCTACAAACGGCATTGAACTTGACACCTATATGCTAAATACTAAGTAATTACAATTTGTGCAATTGTACAAAAACTTGGAAGATTCATCAAGAAAAGAGCCTTTTTTTTGACTCTGAAAAGAAATATATTATTCTTTTGAACTAGAAGGGAAAAATTTAAAATAAAATGGCCCATTTTAAATTATAAACTTAGTTCAAAACAGATACTTTGTTTATCTTTTTGAGGTGATTATTTTTGTATATCTATCTACGTTGTCTAACTACCACAACGAAAGAGGCATAATTGGAGCTAGTCTCTACGTCGAGTACTATAATAAAGCTATAAAGCAACTTAATTTTTGCTTAAACTTAAACTTATAGACACTCTGCTTAATAAGAAAACCACGGCTTTCCAGTTTTGATGCGTGAGGGCTAATGGATTCATGCGTTGAATAAACGCGAAATGGTTGGCGCTTAGGTAATAAAAGATACATAATGTCAACAGTAATACCAATAGAGAGAAAACGATAGAGAAACTGTGAGAGCAGAGAAAACGTAAACTATCGGTCGAGCTATGATCGTGTAGTTTTGGCCGGTTTCTTAATTTGATTCTGGATTGTAGGCAGACATACTATACATTTAAAACAAGCTGAGGGTAGAAAATGAGTGCATGGATTGTACGAAATGTGGTTATTACAAAGGTACATAAGCCACGTACGAATCATTAACTTCTATTGCGTTGTGTTGTCCAAATTGCGCAGTTCGTTAGCAAGTTTATGACGGCAGCGACGCACAAACATTGAGTCGGGGCTGCTCCATTGCAAAACTTGGCACAAAATGAGCAAGTTTTCAAGGGAAATACACACACATGCCATACACGCACACGCATACATATGTAAACACTCAGCTGGCGGTGACTAAAGTAAAGACTAATTACATTGCAGGTGAAATACACATGTAAGCAGCAGTTATCAACAGTAAATGTTATTGCTCAGAGAGGGAGAGAGAGAGCGAGAGAGTGCTGTAATGGCAGGTGTATTAGTGAGTAGTTCATTACTGACTGAGTAAGTGAGTGGGCGAATGAATGAATGTGTGAGCAAATGAATCACAATTCACACTTCGCGTCGATGCCGTTGCTTGTGTTGATTGTGCCTTGTGAACTTTCAAGGTAGCCCTCTCAGTATGAGCAGTTCTGTTTCTGTTGAGGCCAGGCCACTGAGTTAATAGCCGGTAGCACAAACACACACATACATATACACAGGGCAACGAGGCAAAATTTGGCCAAAAAAATGAGCAACAAAGAAGTCGGCACTACCCACCGCTCAAATACACGACAACGAGTATCTTCAACCGATTGTTTACTCAACAATAAAAGGTGCAAAGAGCGCACGAAGTCTTGTACTAATATGGACACTTTGCTATGTTTTAGCTTTATCTCACTTATATACTTTTTATACCCTGTACCCAAAGGGTACAAGGGTATATTAGTTTTGTGCGAGTGCACATGGAACACACAGAAGGAGGCTTGGTAGACCCCACAAAGTATATATATTCTTGATCAGCATGACAAGCCGAGTCGATATAGCCATGTCCGTCTGTCCGTCTGTCCGTCTGTCTGTCCGTCTGTCTGTCTGTCTGTATGAACGCAAGGATCTCCGAAAGTATAAGAGCTAGAATAACCAAACTTGGTATACAGATTCTCCTGAGACCGAGAAAGGACGAGTTTGTTAATTTTTTCTGATCCGCCCCCCCACTCCGCCCCTATTACTGATTTTCTATAACTCCCGTAATTCTTGGAATTTTGAGCTAAAATTTGGTAGTCACATTAGGTTAGTAATTATATATCCGTATAGCAAGTCTCATTATGATAAAATGATCGGAAAGAAAGTTATAGCCATATAACCAGGCCCAATGCACACATACATACATATGTACAAGTACACAAACACGCATAAGGCACGATTCTGATGTAAATGTAAATGTATGTATGCATGCATGGAATATTTTATATTTAATTAGTTAATATTTAGTTAATTAATTAAATTAATTTAGTTAATTAATTTAATTTAATTAATTAATTAATTAAATTACTTTTTTGTGGGGTGGTACAGGGTATTTAAGAGTTGAGCCTGCTCGACTTTAGCATTCCTTTCTTGTTTCTCTTATATTAGCAATTCCAAAAACAAATTTTGCTAACCAATTTGACAAACAGTACAAATAATCAATTATTTTTAACCTCCTTTAACCATCATTTGAAATAACAGCAAACGATTGGCATGCCACTCAGAATGCGGTGAGAGTAGTAACCTACACAAATCGAACCAAACTCTCTACCTTTTTCTTGGTTGGGCCCGATTTGATATCTGAGAATGGATTAGAATGGACTTGCAAGTATAATGGCTAAGGCTTGCTTTTGCTGATCTTTTCCCGTCTGCATAATTGAAATATTTATATCTGTGTAATAATCCACAATGGTCTAAATATTTATGTTCTTATTGTTCTTAAGCTTAAGCAGGTTGAAAGATATTGCTGTTGCTTGTACAAACACAAAGCTCGGTTCTTTTTTCAAAATTTCTCAAACTTTAACAAACCTCATGTGTGTATTTTGAGGTACTTACGTTATACCTTTTAACATATATGTACATATGTAGTATATGTGTCTACTGTGTTTTAAATGCTTCCAAGTGGGCACGAAATAATTATTCAAGGCCGTGTGCCATAGTTCAATGACTGGCAACGTTATGTCTCCTTCTGTATTGTATCTGGTTCCCCACCACCAGAAAGAAATTGACCAAACGCTAAGTAGCTCTAAGCCTCTGACTGACTAAGTGTTAGTCATTGGATTTATTAAGGCCGCATTTAGGAGCAGAGAGGGGTTTCGGATGGGCAGTTGAAATAAATAAGTTCGTTTATAAAGCTGTATTTTTAACGCATTATGTATGTAATGATCCAAAATCTACGTTGGGAAATGTAAGTTAATTACAAGCTTTTTATAGCCTGTGCCCAAAGGGTAATAGGCTATACTAGTTTTGTGCGAATGTATGTAACATACAGAAGGAGTCGTGACAGGCCCCACAAAGTATATATATTATTGATCAGGATGACAAGCAGAGTCGATATAGCCATGGCCGTCTTTCCGTCCGTCCACCTGACCGCCTGTCCGTCCGTCTGTATGAACGCAAGGATCTCAGCAAGTACAAGAGCAAGAATATCCAAACTCTGTATCCAGATTCTCCTGAGTCCGAGAAAGGACGAGTTTGTGTTTTTATACCCTGTACCCGTAGGGTAAAAAGGGTATATTAGGTTTGTGCAAAGTATGTAACATACAGAAGGAAGCATCTCCGACCCCATAAAGTATATATATTCTTGATCAGCATGACGAGAGAAATCGATCTAGATATGTCCGTCCGTCTGTCCGTTCGTCTATCCGTCCGTCTGGATGAACGCAAGGATCTCAGAAACTATAAAAGCTGGAATAACCAAAGTTGGTATCCATATTCTCCTAGGTCCGAGAAAGGACGAGTTTATTTTATTTTTGGGACTCCCCCCCCCCCCCCCCCCCTTCCCACGCTACAGAATTTCGTCAATACTGTCCACATTTCAAAAACTACATAAGCCAAACTTTGCACACGCAACCTATATATAGTTATCTACTTTTTGTTTAAATTTGATCCAATTCGGTCAATTCTAAGAAAAGTTATTAGCGAAACATTTTCACTCCGGTACTACGCCCACAAGCTTCAGCACCCGAACTTCGTCAACACTGTCCTCATTTCGAAAGCAACATAAGCCAAACTTGGTATGCAGACTCTCATAATACCTAGTCTTTTTTATTTCCTCCCCCCTCCCCCCGCTACAGAATTTCGTCAATACTGTCTACATTTCAAAAGCTATATAAATTAAACTTTGCATACATAATCAACATAATTATCTATTTTGTTTTCAAATTTAAGAAAAGTTATAAACGATACGCATAACAAACTGAAGCAGTGACTTATTTTTCTACTAATGCAATAGTATATACTTTTTCATTCACACAAAAATAAATGCCTGGATTACCTAGAAAAGGTTCAATGTCTTTTTGGGGAAATTTTTGTAACGGATTTACTAATTTTTGAGAGGCATCCTAAAAATTACCTGTTGATGAAATAGCGGAAAATAAACTGCCAACGCATCCTTTTTAACCGTTGACCTGCAGGTAGTTGTCAATAAAACCGCGTGAACCCACATGATCCCAAAAAACTCAATCAAATAGGCCAGGTCACAAAAGGACTGTATTGCACTAAAAAATGAAGTCGACAAGCGTACCAAAAAATTTGATGGGTTTAGTTGCATTTTGCATTAACTTCTGTGCGGTTGTGAATGTGGTGCGATTTTACAATTTAAAACGGGTAAATTTAATTTTGTGAGTGCTTAGTAGTGTTTAAAGTATAAAGTGCATATTTTTAGAAATATATGTATATTGTATTTTTTGCCTTCGGCACTTACAAGAAGTGAGTTTACCTTTTCATTTTTATATTTTTTTGTCGTAAAATAGTCTTTATCAAGACTTTCTTATTTCGTCTTCAACATATTTTTTGTGTTTCTCAAATTCTGCCTTAAGCATAAATAGTCTTTTTTAAGTCTTTTTTAAGTTGGCATCCAGATTCTCCTAGATCCGAGTAAGGACGAGTTTATTTTTTTTTAATTTTCGTCAATAGCGTCCACATTTCAATTGCTACCTAAACCAAACTTTGCACACATAATTTATAAATAATTATCTACTGTTGTTTAAAATTTTATTCAATTTGGTCAATTCTAAGAAAAGTTATTAGCGAAACAAATTCTCGCCAGTACAACCCCCACAAACTGCAGCAACAAGTTAGCTCTTCTTCTTCCTCTTTTTGCTGCTGCTTTGGGCGCATATAACTCTGTGACGGAAGTTTACCTGGGTACAGGGTA